GTGTGTGTGTGTGTGTGTGCGTGTCATCTCTGTTTTAATTTCAGTCAAAAGCAATTTTTATGATTGAATAAACACAAGCAATGACGCGCCGTGCTTGCTTGAAAATTTGACGGAATAACCACCTGTTCTCTCGTAGCAAACAATTCCAACATCGACAAAAATTCTTCTCGCTGCGATCACGGCACGAGCACACCTATCTTTTAATTAAAACTTTAAAATAGCGACAGCTTTCTGCGTTGCTCCTCCGCTCCTGCGCTTTCTCCGTCGCAGGGAGAAAAAATCGAGGAAATTGAAATTGCAGAAGAGGTATCGAAAACGCAAGGTGTAGAGAAGATCGAATGAATCTCCCGTTGCGAGAGAAAACAAACGTAATCACAAAAAAAAATTAGTGAAACAATTTTGAAATTTAGCGAAACGAGAGAACATTTCTGTACTCGAAAATTCAATATATATTTTCTAAAATTTCTTAAAATTCGACAAACAGATATAAAATAACTGTTACAAAGTTGCGAACAAATACGTGAAGTCTATTTCGAATCAAAAATTTCTCGCGATTTTGTTTCGATTGCGGTTCGACAATGGATTTTTTCTCTTTACATGTCAAGATCGGTAATGGGTATAGAAAACACTTTGGCCTCCCGTCGCAGACTTTCACGAGAAAACGTCATTTGCATTCCCGACCGCATAGATGAACCAGCTTCCACGTCGTGAGAGAGCGCATTTATCGATCAAGCTCAGCTTCGTTCGTCAAGCTCTCGCGCGGGGATTGTGTGTGTAATCCAAGTCGAAGCGCGTAGATCGGAATGGAACAACCCGGGTTGTTATTCCCTACCTCTTCGATGAGCAGAAACTATGCGAATATATTGGGAATATATTGGATGAGCAGAGACAGAGAAATAGCATACAGATAGATGGACAAACAAACAAAGAGAGAGAGAGAGAGAGAAGTGAGAGGAGAGAGAAGAGAGAGAATGTGTGTGTGTATGTGTGTGAGAGTGAGTGTGTGTGTGAGTGTGAGTGAGAGGAGAGAGAACGATGGCGGATATCCGAATCTGCGTTGACGGTAATGAACCCTTTAAACAAGGTTATTGAAGACTCAAGAGGCTCCGTCGGGGTGAATTTGAGGCGACTCTAGGACCACTAGAACCGGATAATGCGCACGTACGGCGGCGGCGGTCAGATTACGTGCTATAGGAGGTCCTCGATACTAGAGTTCTACGTCTTTGCCAATATCGCGCTATTATTACACTATGCCATAGGCGTCGATATCTCAGATTGTATTCTATCTCAAAGTCTAAGAGGAGGCTTTGCTTTAATCCCGAAGACGCGTCTGTGAGCAACACTCTCTGTGACGATTCTCTACAAAATCTTGTCGCATATAAACTTGCAAAAAAAAAAAAAAAAAAAATCAAAATGTTAAATTGCTTTTTTTTCACATTTTTAATATTTTTCACGGATCTTTATGTGACGCAAAATTGATTTTACAAAATGTGATATTATTAAATCTTACTCTAACATTGATTTCCTCTTCTACTTTACACATACTGCAGATTTATTTTTAAGAAAATTTTTCGGCGTCAACATTTTACATTCCTTAAAAAAAATGTTATTTGTCGCTTTTTTGTGGTGCTTCGTATATAGTTTTACGTGATATATTTGGTTTACACTTGCTGAGTTGTATTCATTCGGTACATTTAATTTTTATTTGAAGCGTGATTAATGCGCGCCATCGTGTCGCGGCGCCCATGGACAATCGCGACCATACTCGAAAGCAGCTCAATCGAAGGGATATCGAGTTGGCACGTCGAAGGAAGGTAGATAGCGGATTGGCCGTGGTGGCTGTGCGGGATCGACAATCGAGGAAGTAGGATCCACTTACCTATGACGAAAATGCCAATGAGTCGAACTATTCCGAACTCCATATTATTATAGTTAAGGAGAACGTTAGCTAGATGCGCCGCCAAAAGGGCGTAAACGCCACCGCTTGCCCCGACAAGGTACACATCGGTGTCGAACACTGACGTGCCCAGAGAACCTGAAAAAAGAAACATATCGAACATATAATTCTGTAACAAATTTCTGATTATTCTTTTTTTTTTTAAGTAGACTTTATTTATAGAATAGAACAAGGCTAGTTGAATCTAGTGGCAAGTTAAGATTTGCAAAGACTTGCAAATATTTCAATAAACGAAACGCATAACGGATGTCTGCGTAAGAAACGCAGAAACTACCGCGCTGCATACGCCGCCTGCGTTCGACCGTCAACGGGCAAACACGAGCGTTATTATAGTGATTAGTATAAATTAGTATAATAGCGTTATTATAGTGATTAGTATAAATTAGTATAATAGTCGCGCGACAGTCTTATTCAAAAGTTGAATTTTACGCTACAAAAAAATATTCTCAGAACTCAATTCTTACATGTCGTGTACGAATATTTGAGACTCTATTGTATCAACGTAATTAGTGTAGAAATAAATAAGTAGTTTTATTATGCTCAAAATCTCTTTAAACAATTTTATTCCTTTTTGCCAATACGGTAAACTTTTAGTAGCGATTGTCCACGCTTTCATCGAATCTGACAAGTCGTCGCGCGCGTCTAACCAAATCTGTCAGTTCGTTTAGCTGTCAATTACTTAAGGACGTTCTCCGAATTATTGATTTTCCTAGGATTTTCTCTAAATTTGCGATATACATAGTTTGTGATCTTATTTATACGTAGCCTTTTTGGATAATAGAGGTAGCAATGTTAAATTCCAAAATATGGAAGATTTAAGTTTCAATTTTTAACATGGATTTCCTATGCTGAGCCTTTGTAAAGTGGGGTTTTTTAAAGTTACTGACGACAATTTTTGTAGGATTTTTTTTTAAAAACAAGTATGTGGTAGCGGAGAGTGTCTTAATTAAGATACGATTTTTTTTTGTTTTTTTTTGGTTTTTTTTTTGGTTTTTTTTTGTTTTGCTGGATTTATGTGCGCTGTGTACTGCAGCTATTTTTGAACTTCTGCGCGGAGTAAGCGGGTCTTAGCAGTGCTGAATAGCTCAACTTAACTTTGTTACAGCAGTACAAACTTACTTATGAGAAGAGATATTTTAGATTGCTAACCACTGTATTTAGGTTGCTAACCACTGTAGTCGGAGAACGTCCTTAAATAACTTCTCAATTTCAATACAGATACTAAAAAAACAATTTTGAATATGACGGACATATTAGAGGCAAGAAAATCGCAAAAAGGGGTGTGTCAAGATCTAAGTACGTTGTGCGAGAGAGGCGACATTGTTGTTACTCGCCTATGTCTTTTGTCAAGAAATATTACAATCTTTCCGCGGCCTTTACTTCTTGAGTTATAAATAAAATATGCTAGTTTTTCAAAACAATTCTCTCTATCATAATTGTGTGAAGATTTATATTAGTTTGAATAAAAAACCTAGAGACTTAACTAGCGCTCCGTTCTACCCTACTGATCATTTCGAAACATGAGTAGTTTTGAAAAATAGCAAATTAAAGGATATATAAAGTCTAGCGCATATATTTTTTTATTCAAATTGATATTTTTATGAGTTATAAAGAAAAGAAGAGAGAGAGAGAGTTGCAAAGAAGAAAAATAATGTTTTTTTATAAGACCGCTTCATCTACTCTCTTAATTCGCGAGAACATACGTATTGCGTACTCGACGAAATTTTTCGAGAGAAGAGAACTGGCCGGCTCTTCTTTTCTTTCGTTTTATTTTTTTACGAAGCTGCGAGTTTTCCGTCGAAGAAGTTTAGGTCACTGTCTGTCGAGCCGGGAAAACGCTCGTTCGCGAACAACCGCGAAGTGCGGACGAAATTTTCCGCTCTCGCTTCTCTCGAATAAAATAAGAATAATATTCGAGTTCAAGAACTCGAAAGTTTGTGCACGGCTCTGCGCTTCAGTTTAACGACGCCAAAAACCTTCTCTCTCCTTCGCTCTCTCTCTCTCTCTCTCTCTTTCTCTCTCTCTTCTTATCTTTGCTCTTGGTCTTTCTCTAATTTGCTCAGGAACATCTGTTGCTCCGCGTGTAATGTACACGCCATAGAAATTAGAATACGGGATATAAAAAAAAAAAAAGCACCTCTTTTATGCGGATTTGTGTGTATATCTCTAATTATTCGGGGAATATTCCTGAAAATATAATTCTGGAAATTTTCCACATCATCATCATGCAAATAAAACTAATAAATTTTATTTTAATATACACGTATAAAATTGCTCGATAAATGTACAGAACTTTATTTTTAATTCACAAATCGCTCTCAATCTCCCAAATACACACACATTTCTATATATTTATGTGTATACGTATAATTATAAATAAACACATAAATGCTCTCTTGCTACTTGGTCAATTCGCGAATGTTGATAGTACGTACAAAGCGTACCACCAGGCGATAGCCAACTCCGGATATTAGAAACGGAATTAGAGATCTGTCTCCAAGTATCTGTTCCATAATTTGACAGAATGTCCACAGCGTATGAACGCGGGAGATAAGTACTCAATGCATCCCGAAATGTGGCTGTCGAGAAGTACTATGTAATCGCGCGCGTGCGTATATGTGTGCGTGTAAATAATATAAAATTTGTAATAAAGTGAAATATAAATCTCTGAGAGAAAGTGTAAATATTAATTCTTCGCGGTAAGATCTCACAATTAACAACGGGTTAGTCAGATCGAGTCTGTGAGACCCACGCGACTTTATGATTGAATATCTCCGCGAAAAATCAATATATTTTTTCAATTTCTTTTTCTCTTGTCAAAAGTTTAAACACTTCTGCGTCGATCAAAAACAATAAGTTAAAACAGTTTCTAGTAATTTCGTAGATATAAACGTTAAAAAAAAAAACTTTTTCCAGAAACGCCGATGCGGAATTTCTGAGTGGATCTGAGAGACCCACGTTTGACTGCGAAAGGGTTAATATTGGTAGACAACATACATTCTTTCCGGTACAATGATGATAATCGTTTATGATAAAAAAGAAAACGGCCATTTTTTCCATGGACTCAAATCAAAACATGGAGATAACGAAATTGTTCTCTCAAGTGTAATAATAAAAAACATTCGTGATATAAATATATCGAAGATATATTTTAGAAACATCAAATAATGCTGCGTCCCAATTACACGGCGAACGTTACAAGACAATTCGACGCACGATGGTATCGCAATAATGACAGCACGTTCGACAAACTTCGCAATTCGCATCGTTTCAACCGGTTGTAACATCGGTACCTAACCGGTTTTAGTTAACTGTGCAACATGCGTGTATCGCGCTCGCGCAACGATTTCAACCCCGGGAGCAACGGTAATGTATCAGACACACGATCGCGCTAGTTAAACATTAATATCGCACCGGACAGGCGTATGGCGCTTCGAGAATCGATGCGATGCTCGCCTATACATCGTAGGAAATGAGCGAGGACATTAGTCGCTTCCTACGTGGAAATGGTAGCGACTGGCCGGTTGCTTGTTGATGATTCGGCGCGTCTGGAGCGGCCGAACTGCCACCTGACACCTGCTGACCGATCGCTTTTCGCGAACCCAACTGCTCCACCCCACGAGAACCTTTGATCCGTCTTGAATTATGAGTATACCGTTCAAACCAATATATTACTCTTATGTCTATTCTGTGACGAGAATTGCTTCTAATTTGTTAAGACTATTAATTTGATATTAATAATGTAACACAAAATATCGGAGAATGTCCATCAGAAAAAACATGTCTAAACATCATGTCTAGCAACTTTTAAAGTAATAAACATATCTATTGCAGCAAGAAAGTGCACGAATGCAATTATTTGTAATTAGAAACTGCAATCCAGTGCAGTGATATATAAATATAAATATTTAATAATAAAGAAATATATATATATATGTATATAATAAGTACTTTTTCGTCTCGTTTCGTGTATCTCTGTTTTATATAATATATTATTAAGATCTTGTCTGTGCTCAAAATTGACCTTTTTCATTCTGATTTGTAAATAAATATTTAATTAAAACAACAAAAAAGACGTAGCAAGACCAAAAAAACATTCGCGGACTTCGCTCTCTGTCGTTCGAGTTGATAAAATTAGAAGTTTTCAAAATTGAATTTGCAGGAAGCGCCGTGAGTTACGTGCACTCTGTGCCGGTTTTCGCATGCGCGAAACATCCTTGTGTTCCTTGCGAAACAGACGATTCAATTGGATTCGTTGCTACGCACTGGTCATTAACACGCGACCTACATCGAGTTACAGAGATGAATCCGGATAGGTAGAGGACCTTGATGGGAAAACCATGCGAAGCGCCTGTCTGTTTCGTAAACTACCCTTGCGCAGAATTTCCGCGAATCGCGTCTAAGCCGGGACGACGTGGAAATGCATTAAGGATGCAAACATCAATTCGTGCAAATTTGCGAGCGCATCGAAGTGCATCTGCAATGAATTATTAGCATCCGCTTAAATAAATGATCGAGTCACATCTAATCGAAACAATTACTTGAGATGAGCGAAATTAAATAGCTTAACAATACAGCTTAACTGACGGAAGAGCTTGCGCATATATATATATATATATATATATATATATATATATATATATATTGTTACGACCACCCGGTATAAACAGACGCGCTATTCATATCGGTGAAAGAAAAAAGACGGAAGAGTCATTTTGATGATAAATGTTTGGTCGAAGATTTTTTAATTGAATTTGAGTTGGTAATCGGAACGCGACGAACGCGCGGCTCTGGGCTCTGACTGTTCGCAAACGATTCGGTGTGTACTACTAAATCAAGCTGTATTTTGATAATATCAAATAAATACCGTCACGGATCTAGTTTTGATCAGTTTGTTAAAAAAGTATTATAATAAGGTTTTGGTCATAAAAATTAGTACAAACAGAATTTTGGGGGGCATAATAATTATTCCGATATCTATATACCTAACTTGAATTGCCTATAGAAATGTTTTTTTTTAATGAAAACAAGTTTTGCAGTTGAATGTATCCGACTAGATTCGCGTGACAGAGGTTCAT